TGTGTGTTTCTCCTTCTGAATAGATCTGTGTTGATGAATCTGTGATGAGAAAACAGCCTCAGGTACCACAGAACAACCATTCTTCTTTTCTGCAGTTTTCTCTCTGTGTGTCTGATTACAACGTTACGGTATATCCTAATCGTTAGTTTTTGCATTATCTGGTGTAATAACTTTATTTAAAAATAACAACAAGAAGGAAAATAAATACTTTTTTCTTTTTTGAATCTAGATGAAGAAAATAGTTTACATGTTGTGGTAAATTGTGGGGAAGCACTACTGAAAAATAATACTTACTGGCCCCTGGTTAGTGATTTTATAAACATACTTTCACACCAAAGTGTGGCAAAGAAATTTTTGGAAGATCATGGTCTTCTGGTAACATGGATGAATTTTGTATCATTCTTTCAAGGTATGTGACTTTTATAATCAGTACTAATACAAGTATCTTAAGACAGCTTAACGTACACAGTAGCAAAATCCTTACAATGACCTGTATGTAAATATTTAAGTCATTAGTATTCTCATGAGTCTCTTTTCCTGGAAGGGATCAGTAAATTCTAGAAAGCAGGTATATCGGAAGATAATCTAATGGATGTTTGTCTTGTGTGGACTAGTTGAAGAGCAATTGCAACACACTTGACTGAGATGCATGGTGCCAGAATTCTCAGGTTGTATTTAAAGGACAAATTGTAACTTGTGGTAGAAGTGTTTTACTGGTGAAGTTCTAAATTTAAATATTTGGTAAATTAATCTGTGCATGTTAATGTCACCTGAAAAGCAAAGACTGCAGTTACTAGCCAACTGAGAGCTATTTCTCTTTTCTGCTCTATTTCTGTTCAAACTTCAATGCTTGTTTTCATACTTTATTCTACTCCTAGATAGGATAGATTGTTACACTTTGTGGGGTTTTTTTGTCTTATTATATGTGTGAATGCATAATACTGAAGATACTGCATTCCACTTAGCTCTAGTTAAATATTTTGGTTGTGTAACTCTGCTTAAATCTTTGAAGGTATGAATTTAAATAAACGAGAATTAAATGAGCATGTGGAGTTTGAATCACAGACATACTATGCTGCGTTTGCTGCTGAGCTGGAAGCCTGTGCCCAGCCTATGTGGGGTCTTCTGTCACACTGCAAAGTTAGGGTAAGACTAACATTTCTCTGTCATTATTCTTAGTTTTATTCATGACATACTCTAGGGTTGTCAAACCTGAAAGGTCTGTCTGTTTTATGTTTGGAAGAACTTGGGTTTTTGCTGTCTTTTTCTACCAAATATATAAAACTGTGGTCGACTGGGATTCTGTGTACAGTGACTATAGAATTCATGAGTGTACCTGATTTATTGTCTCCAGCACTGGGACTACAAGGTCAGGATGTGTACAGTCATTCCATATGACTGTATATATGGAATAATGTGATGAATGTCTCTTGAGTCATTCTGTGTTTGTTTAGTGGGAAAGCAGATATATATGTCATCCTAATGCGATTATAACGTTGATTGTGTCTGCAAATGGATGCTTCATTATGGTGGGCGATGCAGTCTTTATGAGTTTGTGGTGTTTTACTAACAACCTGAGATGAAAGCCTCTTAGATTCTCACATCTCATGGTCTCCTAACTAGAGCAAAGAGTTGTTACTATTTGCTAGACTGTAAATTATATTAAGTTATAGTAAAAATCCATGACCTTACAGGAATACTTAACATGTGAAAAAACTTGGTTATTTTTTATGAAATCAATACTTACCTTTTGAAATTAGCTTTTTAAGATTCGTAATAGCATCCACGAGACTGTAATACCTGAATTGAACTGTGCACTGAAAAAATGTGTGTGAGCATGCCATGCAATTTTAAAGCAGTTTAGATCAGGAAGTTGCAAAAGCCTTTCCATGATTTAAGTTATGCTGACACATTATGAATATAACCATTTAAGAGTCTAAATTATCTTCTGAAAACTGAATTACAACTTTAGCTTTTTGAAGCATTCCTTCTTTTTAGTTTAGGATTGGGAGGGTCTGCCATTTGTTTAAGGCCCATGTGATTCCTTGCTTCACTTGTCGGCTTGTCGGTTGTGTTTTCACCCCCATGTTTGAACCCTTTGGTTGTTCTCAGTAAAATGGAAAGTGTTTTAGAAATTTCATAGTTTAATGTACTTATTTAGTGAAACCTGATGGGTGGGAAGAGATTCCAGTTTGCGTCCCACAGGAAAGTGGAGCCTGGCCGCTACAGAGGGTGGAGCAGCAGGATGGGAGTGTGGCTGTTTTATTTCCTGATGCGAAAGGTGTCAGAGCCAGTCAGCACTTGCACAGCTCCTGGCTGGCTAAAGCACTGCTGGCTTTTGCTTGAGAAATGTGTCATACATAGTGTGAAGGCAGGTCTGGAGTCTTGTGTTTATGGGGAGGGGAAGCTTAAAGGAAAAGTCCACTAAGAAGTCAGGCTTTGTAAGTTCTGCTGCTCACAGAGCAACTTGGTTTAGCTCCCACACCGCCTTCACTTCTTCACATCACTGCTTTGCTCCTGGAGGACAATGTATAGTTCTAGTATTGAAATATGATTTAATCTGAAATATATTACAGTTTTTAGGGCATTGTTAGAGAGTTCTATCATACAATCATTTTTAGTAGAAAAACAGTGGTGCTTAAAACGGTTTTGGCTTATATAGTACACTGGTTTCTCTTACTTCAGGAAACACAGGAATACACACGAAATGTTGTCAGATACTGCCTTGAAGCGCTTCAAGACTGGTTTGATGCTATCAACTTTGTAGATGAGGTAAATATCCCTAGTGAATTTAAGTGAAATACTGTGAAAATCTGATTAAACTTCAAAGGTGATACACTCCCTCCCTTCCTCCCCCCACCTACCCCCCCTCCCCCAATTAAATCATAGTTCTAGGTAGTGAATAAAAAAGGACTGCCATGCTGTAATTAGAGTTTGTAGTTAAGAGTTGCAATGTTATGTCCTAGGATTTTTTCTTGTAGATTCTTGGTGATTTAGATTTGCTGGTGCAAGCTTAAGTAGTGAGTCTTAAAAGCATTGTCATTCATGTGCTACTGTTCTGGTGAATGAGCTGAAGCAATAGCAAAACAAAGTCCTCTTCTGATATGGTAGTGGGAAGCAATTTTGCCACTTTAACAAGGGATACTTAATCAGAGCAGTGTTGTTACCTACTGGGGATTTAGTAAGCGATTAACTACAGTTGTCTGACTGAGGAAATTTATGAATCATTGGTAAGTGCAGGGAATGAACTAATATTAAGTTACTGAAAACAGTCCATCAAATGTAGATGTGTGAGGTACTGTTCTTGGTGGTTGTGAAAAAGACACTTGCAGGTTTGTGATTTTTTTTTTTTTTTTTTTTTCTTAATATATGATATTGAAATATTTTTATTTTACTTTCAGCCAGCTCCTAACCAAGTTACCTTTCATTTGCCATTGCACCGTTACTTTGCCATGTTTTTAAGTAAGGTAAGCACATGTTTTAGTCATGCAAAAGGTTGGAAATTCCCCGTTGAGTGTGATTGTTCAGTACAGTGTATGCTTGCTTTTGTTTTTAGGCTGTCAAATGCCAAGAACTAGATCTGGATACAATCTTGCCAGATCAGGAGATGCTGATGAAACTGATGATTCACCCACTTCAGATTCAGGTACAGGCAGACTTCTGACTTTGCAGATGTAGAGATATACAACAAAAAATAATTGCTGTCTGATTCTTTTAATCCCAGTCACTTAAACATATTTATAAGTATTTAACAGGGGTGAGTATGTCTTAATTGGGGAATATCAAAATAAGCAATATGTGACAGTAACAGCTAGAATAAACCGAATAGTTAGGATAATTTTTTTTTTCTATTTCCAAAATTAAATATGTGGCATTAATTATCATACTCTGACAAGTATAATGATAATATGCACTATAGCACTTCCAAAAGTTTAGGGAGAACCAACCCTTTGAAAACATGGAATTACATGTTCATGGAATAGCTACCAAAGGAGTGCAAGTTAAGAAACCTGAAGCTGAAAATTTCCTATTTTAAATTGAGAATGAGTTCAGGAAAAGATGCACGCTACCACTTCTTTTTAATTTTCAATTTGTATTTATTTGTATGTATGTAGTAACCGAGCAGTATTTGTAATCACTGCTTTTATTTCTAACTTTTTTTAACCATGATGCCTTCATTTTTGGAGTACTTGTAAAGATTTTAATAAATGCATAAATCACTTCATTGGCTTTGGTAACTTTTGTAGTCTGAAATATGCTTTTATATGAAAGTATAGTATGTGTTTCATAAACTTGCAGTGGTTCCTTTTCATCCCTTGCTCTCCAGAAGTATGCTAGTATTAAAAAAGGTGTAGTGTGTATGTATCAATATGTGCAATGATATATTGATGATTTGATAATGTTGAACTGAATAGCTGAATATCTCTGAAAGGTTTGTAACTTCTTATTTTATCTTCCCTGAACAGGCAAGTCTTTCTGAAATTCACAGCAATATGTGGGTTAGAAATGGTCTACAAATTAAAGGGCAGGCCATGACTTACGTGCAGTCTCATTTCTGCAATTCGATGATTGATCCTGACATTTATCTGCTGCAAGTAAGTTACGTTTTCTGAGAAGCCAAGCCAGTGCTTGTTTACAAACAAACTACTGAATCAAATGGATTTATTCTCTTTCTACAGGTCTGTGCCTCTAGGCTGGACCCAGATTATTTTATTTCATCTGTTTTTGAAAGGTAGGGTTAAAAGATGAATGTTCCTGTTCAGTGTTGTGTGAGCTGTTGGCTAATATATGCCATGTGAGAGAAAAGTTGGTGATGCACATCTTCACTGGTACAGCTCTGCCTAGCCAAAACTAACACTTAAGGGCTCTACCAAAAGAGGAACCTCAAGGTATATCCTTGTTTTTATACGGGATTGGCTTTTGATTCTGGATAAAACCCGGGTTTGAGAACAGATTTATTTGTATTAGCTTTTATATATTCATAAATGTAAGGTGTTTTCATGTGGAATAAATGTCACTATGGCACATTCCATAGTTAAACAAAAAAATCCAAATTTAAAAATAAGAGGGTTTTCATGTATGTTTATATTATGTATTGCGTTATGCATTTCATTTTGTATTAATTACGGGTTGTTGAATGAATGGTATCCTGAGTTTATTGGAACATTTCACTCTGGTGTTTTAATGTTGGAGAATGACCTATCTGACTTCACTGTTTGCTACGTAGATTTAAGGTGGTAGATCTATTAACGATGGCATCGCAGCATCAAAATACAGTTCTTGATTCAGAGCACGAAAGGTCCATGTTGGAAGGAGCCTTAACATTTTTGGTCCTTTTATTAAGTCTTCGTTTGCACTTAGGTAAGAATTGCTGCTTTAGGAATACTTGTATGTAAATAACATGGCTGTTTATTTATATTCAACATTTAGTAGCTACCATGAAGCTGATTAATCATATAGTAACTTAAAGCATATGATACTTGGTTTCATTTTTGCCAGTTACTGAATTACTGTGAGGGTGGTGAGACACTGGCACAGGTTGCCCAGAGAAGCTGTGGCTGCCTCATCCCTGGCAGTGTTCAGGGCCACATTTGAGCAACCTGGGTTAGTGGCAAGTGCTGCTGCCCATGGCAGGGAGGTTGGAACTAGATGAGCTTTAAGGTCCCTTCTAACCCAAACCATTCCATGTCAATACATAGAAATGCAGGGATAAAAAACCGACTTGAATAGAAGTGAGTGATTTATGTATGTGATCACACGAAGATTCTGTATCCTTTGCAGAAAGACAGCAGGTTTACTTTGTGCCTGTCTTTTCTGACTGTGGTTTAATTAATGTTTGTATCAAGTTTAACTTGCATTTAATGATAAACGTCTGCTGAATGTGTGTTTTTTTTAAATCACACTATTTTTATGGCTTTTAAAATTTTATCCTTCTAGGAATGACAGATGATGAGATCCTCAGAGCAGAGATGGTTGCCCAACTCTGTATGAATGACAGAACACACAGCTCATTATTGGATCTTATATCCTTGGCATATATTAATTAATGTGCACGTATGAGAATGACAGGTACTTGGATAGTAGTAGGATTTTGGAGCTTGTGAATAACATGTTTTCAGATTATGTAATTACAAAAGATTGTGTAAAGGTGTGTTTGCATATACTTACCAGCAAAGGCATTTGTTCTAACTTTGATTTTTCTTGCAAAATATGCAGTAGGTTGTAATAGTTGTAATATTGATCCAAAACGCTGAACTGCTGTTCTTATTTTTATTATTTTTATTATTTTTTAAACACTCCAAAAGTCTTTAAGTGTGAGGTGAAAAGTCTGTTTTCCAATGGCATTTCTTAAAGTTTAGGCAAGCATCACCTTTATCTGGATTTGAGCCTTTGATTATTGCTACTTTTATGCCAGTATAGAAAGCAGCCACTCTGTGCTATATTGGCATTTGCTGTCAATAGCTAAAAATGCAAATAATAGCAATTCTGAATGCTGCTTTGAAATTGGAGGGAAACAAATATGTCATGGGGGAAAGCATCTTAATTGAAGAATAGCAAAATCTAGAAAGTCTTTCTGCACAGTGAAATACGGTTCATGTTCCTGAAAAGTTGTTTACAAATACTCAGGTCTTAACTGCTATCAGTGTATTAGACTGTGTAGGCAAATTAAATGGCTTGTGCTGATTGCCCAAAAGAGCTTGCAGTCATGGATAGGCAGAGCAAAAATACTAGGAATTTATAAAGATGGGAAAGAACATTGAGAGTTACGAATATGTGATAACAATTATTATTATGATACCACTTAGTAACTCAATCACTTAAGTATGTAAAATAAGCAGATCACTTAAAGTGGTTCACTTAACTATGTAAAATAAGTGAATGATTTATACAAGTTTCCTCATTTGTAATTGCTGCTTGTGATTTGGGGTAATACCAGTAGGTCACTTGAGTGTTGCTACAGAAAACGAGAAATAGCCAATCCAAAATGGAGAATTACTTACTGTGTTTGTGGATCCCAAACTATTTATTGCACTTGGCTGTAAATGTGAAATATTGCTATGAAGAGAGCCAAAGTGTTAGTAAATAAAGACAAGTACAAAAACTTTATATATACTAGAGATAGTAGTTTTTATTTCTCATTTAATACATACCTTTTTAGCCAAGCATGTAGCAATTGGCTTGCTTTAAAAAGTTTAGTGTTTAAAACTAGGCTTTGATTCACTTCAGTAGTAGTTATTGTTCCATAGCAGCTGGAGCATACAGACCTCTTGTGGTAAACACAGAGCACTGCCGAAACCTAGCCTCTGAAATGAGTGACTGAAATTGTCAAGAGGAGAGAAAAGCTGTGTACTGCAACTAAGTTAACTTTCCTTTCCTTAACACAAACGTTACATTCCAGAAAACCCCAATCCTAAAAGTGGTATTATTCCAGGAAGCTTAAGCTTTGAATCGGTCTTGTCAGCAGTTGCTGATTTTAAAGCTCCTGTTTTTGAACCTGGAGGTTCCATGCAACAAGGAATGTATACACCTAAAGGTACAGTAATCAGTGTCCTCTTGTAAAATACTCAGTGGTAAGATGCTTAACCAGAGGTTACTTTTTTAGGAAAACAAAGAAACAAGTAAAAAAGCCTAACCAACCGATAAAACCCCTGCCTTACCCTCCTCACAGAAACCCTAAACCCACCACCAAAACTCCACAAAACTTGTTTGACTTTTTCATGATTGTCTATCTCTTCTGTTCAAGAGCACTGCTAACAACTGTTAGTAGTTTTTAGTAATTCCATGTCGATCTAGTGAAAATGAGCTGCTCATATTATTTGGGTATCCTTAGAAAGCACGGGGAAAATTGGAGATCTGAAAAATTGTTATTTGTATTTCACTGATATGCATATGTAATTACTCATGGGATTTAAAAAAGTCTGATTTACATTCTTTAGAGTCTACAGCTGTTTGCACTAGTGAGGTGTCAGTTGCACAGATCCTGTGTTTGAACTTTCCACATTTTCATTATTAAAGTTACCATGATATGTAATTAATTCTTTTTATATTGCTTAAATATCTTAATATCCTGTAACATTTTTCCTAGTCAATAGTGAGGGTCTAGAACACAGTTCTGGCTGGACTGGTTACAGAATATTGTTGTGTAATTCTACTGTGCATACAGTGAAAAAATGACAAGTTTCTTCCCCCAACCAACTCGTCATCTAAATTGAACTCAACACAGTATTGGTATATCAAAGGAGAGTTAAAAATTAGCAACTCAGTGTTCCATTACTGTTTCCTGTCACTGAGCAGATAAGCCTGTAGGAATTTGAAATGCTCCATGTGCTCTGGTTATGCTTCAGCTCATGGCAAAGCTGAACAGGGATTAACTCCTTCCTCCCCTGCATGCCTCCTTTGAGAACTAGCAGGGTTGGGTCTGACAATTTTGAAACCATCTGGTTTGTAGGCTGTGTTCTTTTGTGGATTTTGTTGTTGTTAGTACAGTATTAGTTCTCAAATTAACTTGTTCGCTAGTCTTTGTAATGGGAAATAGATGAGTCAGTGAAGCTCTCACTTTGTATACAAATTAACCACCAGTGAGGTAATTTTGTGAAACCACAGTTTTGGGAATTAATTTGTTCTGGTTCCTTGATGTGTAATTAGGCAGCTTAACACCTATATATTTAAAAGAAGTTGATTTTAATGTCATGTAAACTGTGTTGCCTTATGTTGTGTCTTGGTTTTTTGAGCTTGTGACATGCTGATCTTTTTCATAACACAGAGTGAAGGGAAAAAAAAGAGATGGATTTTTAACTATAGAACTTTAGGGAACATTATAGTTGGGTTTGGTTGGTTGGGTTTGGGTTTTGTTTTGTTTTTATTTTTGTATTTGGGTTCTTTTAACATATTTTAAATCTAGAGTGGATTGTTTATCTTAAAGTGTTTTTTTTAAGTATCTCATCTACCGCAGTGAATACTGAAGTAACTTGTAACATGTAGAATCTCTTTTTCTTAAATAATAATAAAAAACTGAAAGAGCTTCTGCAGAAATAAAAGCCAGTGTGGTTTTCCTGTGTATTACAGCCTTTTAAGTGTTACAATCTTTGTAAGACTATATAGGTTCTCAAAAAGAATGGTGATACTCCAGTTGCTTTTAAGAATTGTAGTTTATGGCCAGTCACTGTTTAAGCAAGTCACATTGAGATCCATTTCCCCTAATCTCTGGCTTCCTTAAATTTAGGGGAAAAATCTACTTTATGATCACTGAAGTCCCAGGTTCTCCTTCTATTAACCATCAGTTTAAAAAGCAGGACATAGTTCTTCCTGTTCTCTGTGGATTTGTGTGCTGAAGAAACGTGTGTGCATTTCTAATATTCTGTATATGGTCACTTAGTCCTTTTCCCTAGCTGTGCATTAGCAGCCCAAACAAGCTCGGTCTGTGTTTCAGACCGCAGCAGTACGCTACGTGCAGAAAAAAAATGCACTTTTTGCAAGCTAAGTTTGATCCTATTTCGTACATAGTGGAAACTATGCTAAGTGTTTTCTTTCAGCACCATATGAGTTTACCTGTAGAACTGTTAACAATAGGAGGGCTTAATAGGAGGATAGACTGCTTGTCTTCCCGCCTGGGGGAATTTAATCTCAAAAGCTGGTAAAGCTGCTTACTTTTGCCTGTGAGAACTTTTAAAGAATGTTGTAAACGCTTGTTTTGTGTTATGCCTGCTGGTGGAGCTAAAATTCTGTATCTACTGGGGTTCTTCTTCCGTTGATGGGATCATTGAATCTTGCCTTCAGTTGCTGTGCTACCAGAGCTAAGGACTTTGAAGCAATTAATAGAATGAACATCTTCGTTTGGCTTTAGTTTGGAAACTTAGGGGTTTTTTATTAAATAACTTGTAAATAAAAAAAGAAAAAATCAGTTAAATGGGATATCTTTATAGTCTGTTTGGACTTTTCTGTTTGTGATTGCTCTGAAAAGCCACTCTGCGTGTTACTTTAGAGCTACCAAATTAACCAGAGATAATGAATGCCAAATAATGCCAAAATAATGCATAGGTTTTAGCTATAAAACAAAGGCATGTTTGTAAATGATTGATCATAACTGCTTTTGGAGAGGAAGGTTGGCCATTTTCAAGAGTGAACAGAGAATTGTGTTGTAGTCTTTTGGTTCACTGCATGTAATAGTTAAATATCACCTGCATGCTAACTGCTCTGCACTCTTTACTTCCGGTTTTCAAGAGGGCTTATGCTTATCAAGTACCAAATGAAAAATGTTGTAAGCCTTTTCTTTCTTGTACTTGAAAATTAAAAAGAGCAAAACAAGATGCATACAGAAAAGGTGGTTTTGGGACTGTCTTTGTATACTTACAATTGGATAAATACACTTACTTAATTTTAAAATTTAATTTAAAATTTATTTTTTAAAAATTTCCTCAGCATATGTAGCAGCTATTTTATCAGAAATGTTATTTTTCTTTTTATGTTTTATCCCACGTTGTAAATTATTGCATAACAGAAAAGAAAAAATAAAAGAAAATAAAGCTTGTTAATAGGAAAGATCTATTGCCTTAATAGAATGTTAATTTTTGTGTTTTGGAGATAATAAAAATTTCACCAAAAATACTGTCCTGTCCTGACGAGTACTAGTAATTATTAGTACAGTAAGTATTATTAACTAGAATTAGTAAAATTAGCGTACTTCAAAAATTACTATATAATAGAAAATTACATCATTAAAGCTAGTTAAGAAGAGAATCTAGAATAAGTTGTAAGGTCTTTAAAGAGAATTTTGACATGTAACTTCTTTCAAACAACAGCTGAAGTTTGGGATAAGGAATTTGACCCCGTCATGGTGATACTTCGAACAGTTTACCGTCGAGATGTGCAGTCTGCAATGGACAGATACACAGCATTGTAAGTTGGGTTGTTTTTAGAAATCTAACATCCTCTTGTTGCTCATTGCACAATAATTATTTTGTTTTCATTGTCTGATAATGCTAATCTTGCACCAATGTTTTGAGGCCTCAGATTTGTCCTTGAGTAAATAGTTTATAAATTTAGCAGCAGTATCAGGGCTTTGGTTAGCTTAGTCTGTTACTCTTCTATAAATATTTAGAAATACATAAGAAGTGCCACAGACTAAGTAGTGAATGTCATCACAGATGAGATACTTAACCAAAAGTTAATGTTTAAAAATCAGTTAAAATTACTTAAAGAAAGCAGCCTTATCTGTTTTTATTTATTTTAGGTACATGAAGCGCAGTATTACAGTGGTCTGTGTTTTGAAATAATACTGAAGACAATGTGGGGGTTTTCTGTGTATTCTCCCATGGCAGAAACCATACATGAATTAAATACTGATTTAAATACAGGAAAAAACATTTGTGGGAATCTCTTAAGTTCTAAGAAGCAAGATTAGTTGGTCTTAAGTCTGTTCCTTAGCATTCCATCCCTTACAGTTTCTTATCCTTGCAAATTTTGATTTCAGGTAATTTAATTTGGTTGGTTTTCTTTTTCTTTTTTTTCCCCCCACACTTTGGGAGTAAAAACCAAGGTTAAAAAACCCTTATAATAAACTTAGTGAAATAATTCTCCGCCCCTGTGCTCATTTCGTCAAGTCAAAGGGTCATCATAAATGTACACTGTAAGTAATTTTGAATGGAGTAATATTCTATTAAGTAACTGCATTATCTACTCCACTGGATTTCAGCTCCTTATTAGAAATTTGGGTCTATGTTAATACTTAATTTTTTAAGTTCACAGATATAGTACCACTGGTACTGTCAGCTAGAGCTAATGTTAAAGCTGGAGAGGGACTTTTTACAAGGGCATGTAGTTACAGGACAAGGGGGAATGGCTTTGAACTAGAAGAGGGTAAATTTAGGTTAGATGTAAGGAAGAAACTCGTCTCTGTGGGGGTCGTGAGACACTGGCACAGGGTGCCCAGCGAAGCTGTGGCTGCCTCATCCCTGGGAGTGTTGAAGGCCAGGTTGGATGAGCATTTGAGCAACCTGGTTTAGTGGAAGGTGTCCCTGCCCGTGACAAGGAGGATGGAACTAGATGAGCCCTAAGGTCCCTTCCAAACCACTTTGTATTCTATGATTTCCATGTCTAGCGTTTCCTGGTGTTGTCATTCCTACAGATGGGAGATTTCTATGTTGGGTGTCTGACTAACGTGGATTTGGGTGAAGTGAAAAGTTTTCCATCTCTTTGATGAACCTCTTAGGATGAAAATTGAATTCTTTAAATTCATAGCTTAATTTAATAGCAGTAATTGAAAATTCATTTTATAAATAAAGGTCACTTACATCAGTGGTAATCCACACAAAAATAAGAATGGATTCAGTTTTTGGAATGCTGCTTGAATAAATACCTTAGAAATGCTGATCAATTCTACAGTTAGTCTAAACAAAAAGAATGCAGGATAGTTATCTTTACCAGTGGCAGTTGTCTACATTATGGTAGTGTTTAACATAGTCTCATTTCTTCCAACAGTTTAAAGCAAAGTGGTAAATTCCCTGGGAACCCATGGCCTCCTTATAAGAAGAGAACACCACTGCATCCAAGTTACAAAGGCCTCATAAAGCTTTTGCACTGTAAAACTCTGCACATTGTGCTGTTCACACTTCTTTATAAGGTACAGTCATAATTCTCATTAAGTCCAGTATCTTATTTCTGTTTTTTCAGAACAGTTCTTAGAAACATGGTATTTGAATAGATCATTTAGAATAGTCAAGTTCAAATTGATACAATGTTTTTTTGTTTGGTTGGTTTGTTTTGTTTTCGAAGCATAGTATGATGATGTTTTTTGACCAGTGTCATAATTTCACGAATGATTATTTCATATATACATACACTAGGTCAGGTACGTGAGTGGATTAGCAGTACTACTCTGTGGAACGCTGTGTTAACCATCAGAGTTGCCATTCGAATTGTTGCTTCTTGGTAGTTCAAGGGACCATGATGGTGTTAGAAGTGTTCCTTTGACTCCCACTGCCGTGTTGTAAGGCGTCAGCAGCCTCTTTAAATATATGCAGCCTTGATTGCTTTAGGTCCTCGGTGGCAAATATGCCTCATAACTGCAGTTGGTTCTAACATCACTTCCCAGATACAGTTCTGGATTTTGATAATGTTGTAGGACTTGTTTTTATGGACTAATTGATGCCTTTAAATTGTGTTTGTTTTGTCTTTGGCAGTTGGCTGCCCTTTTTAAGAGAAGGGCATCCTTTTTGAAGAGTACATTAATCAGAAAATGGGTCTTTGAATCTGCCTTTCTGTTTGGAAAATGCTTTCAAAGCATTGTGCTGCAGAGGCAGATGAGGACCTGTAAGAAGTGGTTTGATTGAGTAGTACTTTTCTTGGGCAGACTTCCCTTTCATGCTGTCTTAAGTGCTCCCAGCTCCCCTAAAGCTCGTTTTGTATCACTGTTAAACTTCAGTTGAATAGAAAATATCTGTTGCTAAGTATGGTAATAATGTGGTATTTATAAATAGCTGTGCTTATTCCCATGAGTTGTTACAGCTGACTTCTTTCTCCAATGAAGGATCTTGTAAATTGTCAGTATACCATTAAGATGAATGAAGACTTAAGATTTTACCTGAATTCATTCAATAGATTTCACCTTTATGACAGAAAAGGCCTTTTTCTCAGAAGCTTCATGTTGTTTTCAGATTAATTACTTCAGTAAACTGTAGGTTTGACTGTGTAACTAGTGTAGTTTTGAAAAACTCCTTTTAAAAAAAATGTATACAAATTCTACTATTTTCCTACCAATTCTTCCTTCTCCTTACATGCCATTCTGTTATGGGTAAATACTCATTTCTGTAGTAGCCTGTCTACAATGAAATTTTAAACGTACTTTCTCATCCACTTTTTTGGCAACTTGCAGGCTCTTGCCATTTTCTTCCCCTTAACTCAGAATATTCGCAAGAGAAAAGCTCTCTGGGTTTTTAATTTCAGCAGCACTGCTGATTCCTCTCAATGCATTGAAAGCTGCGTTAGAAGAAAGATATGGGCTTTTATTAATTTAAAGATAGAAGTTATTTATTATTTATAATTTAAAAGGATTATATGAAGATGGTTGTGAGCTAAATTAATGTTAACTCTTCTGGTGTTCCCAATTATTCAGGCATTGCTTATAGGACTAGGACATCATGAGGCCTTCTGGTGACTAGTCACATGAAAAAGAGAGGGAAGGCTAGGGGCAGCTCTTTGCTTGTACCTGACAGTAGTGGTATCTGTGTGGCTTCACCTGGCATTTTGATGTTAAAGTAAATTGCAGCATGAACTAGTAACAATTTTAAGGTACAAGTTTATTTGACTGGAAAGATGTAAAATTAAATTTTGCTTTTGTGGTGATGCTCAAAGGTTAGTTTTTTCTAAACCTCAAAATAATTCTTAGTAATCTTAAAAAAAAAAAACACAAAAAAAACCTTGGAGTTCAAAATGTGTTATCCAGAAAACTTTTGTAAGTTAGATACACTGAAATCTTAATAGGCTGAGTGGAATAATGATTTCCTGTCTTCTAAATACAAGTCGATCCATCACATCCACATGTCTTATTTTGTAGTAGTGCTCCATTACTATTATTGAAGAGCTATATTAATGTTATTACTCTTGCTATTCTTGGCCTACTTGGAAGTTTGTGGGTTTTTTTTTTTTAATCCTATAGCATAATCAGCTATTTTGGTGGAGTGTTCAGTCATAACAATGCAAAATTTAAAATATCCTGCTGGTGTTTCGGAGTAGATATTCCAGGAAATTGAATAGGAAATTCACTGCTCTTGAAAATAAGTTTTTCCTAACCATATTTTTATGCATATGGTAGGACTTAGAAAGTGTTACTCCGCGACAAAAAGAAAACTATTTTACATGCTAAAATTGGTGCTCAGTGTTGACTACAAAGACACTAGGGTTGCAAGTGTTGTTATGGGGTTCTGTCTGTGCAGTCTTTTCTTTTTAACTGATAGTCATATCTCATGATAGAGCTTTTACAGGCACAGGGGAGGAAAAAAGAAAAACCACAGGCAAAATCAACATATGTTGCTCAAGACATTCTTCTACCTTTCCTAGTGTGGCTAACCTGGAAGGCTGTGCTCTGAGACAGTTTGTAGGTAGTATACTGAGCTACTTTCTTTCCCATCTAGTTAGGTAGAGCTGTCCATCAGGTTTGTAGCAGTTTTGGGTTGGTTGTTTTTGTTGTTTTGGTTTTTTTTTTTTTTTTGTAATAGGGATTGTGAAACTGTCAAAGATGAAACCTTCTAACATGTGAATGTCTTTTTCTGCCTAGATATTAATGGATCATCAGAATTTATCGGAACATGTGCTTTGCATGGTTTTGTATTTGATTGAGCTGGGATTGGAAAATTCTCCAGAACAGGAGTCAGATGAAGAGGTAAGAATAAATACCATCTTTTTCATTAAAATATAAAAGTATTGTCTAATGCTTCAGTGTTCTTTAAAAATAGATGTTTATTAAAATTATAATTTTACCATAGGAATAAAACATCTTTATCTTTACTTACTTAAGCAGGGCTGCATGCTTTTGGGAAGAGGATTCTGGGAGTTTGCGGAGGGGAGACTTTCAACAGTTTCTGTATATATAACCTGATAACACAGATTGGATAGATCTTTACTACTCTGTAAATTAGTACATTAAATTGGGTGCAAAAAAATGGTATTGACTCTAAAACTCGGTTAAATTTCTGGATTTTTCAACTGAAATATTTATCACTGAGCATGTTATTGCTAAAGCCTGTATCTTCTAAAATATGTCAGTTAACCAAAATTTTAACTGTGCTTTTGATGAGAACTGAAATATTAAGAGACATAATTTTCATGATTCCAGATTCCCTTATGGTGTATGACTTTCTTAATTTTTCCTGCTGTTTAACGTTGCTTGTATGACTACAGATCTGCCACATTTTTTTTCCCCTTCAGAGACTGACTTTGTATAGTTTGGATTTTATTTTATTTTTTTTAATTAATCTTAGATTGTACAGCTTTGGATTACTCTGAGTGTAGTTCCTTTTAGTTCTGCTAGATAGCTCTGATGGCTGTATTTGATTATATTCAAATCAAATGCATAGATTTATGTCCTTAGCAGACCTGTAGTCCTCATGGTAGGCATCAGTCATATAATTTTAAAGAGGTGTATCAGCTTTAGTGAGATACATAGTGTTCAACATGCGTGCTCCTGTCTCATGGAGAGATGGTGGCCTCTGTAATACAATTATAAAAGCCACATGAATTATTATAACACATCAAAGCAAGTATACTTCTTTCTTTGTTACCATTTTAGGAATCTGCGGGTGGTCAAGAGCGTTGCCATGATAGTTGGTTTCCAGGTAGTAACTTGGTTTCTAACATGCGTCACTTCATTAACTATGTCCGAGTAAGAGTACCAGAAACTGCTCCAGAGGTGAAGAGGGAACCACCTGCAAGTACAAGTTCTGATGGTTTAGCTTCATCACAAGTAAGTATATGCAAATACCAGTCCTTTTTTCCAGACTAGTGTAAGGTATTGGCTGTATGGACTTTTTTGTTAGGATTATTTTTTCACTGTTTTTATGAATTGCTTAGGATATTTTTTCTTCTCCAGTAATCTTCCGTAAGTGTACTGATAACAGAAATAGAAATTATTTCAAATGATACCTCCTTGCAAATGATGTATTTAATGACTTTTTTTTTTTTGTCCTCAATCTACCAGAGTTCAAGGCGGAAGAGCCTCCAGAGAGAGGTAGATCTGTGTGCAGTTTGTTCTCCTAAGCGATCAACTTAGCAATATGGCTTTAATTGTGCTAACCTTAACATTCAGTGAAATCTAATTTTCCTGAATTTCCTTTTAATTCATATTGCAAGGACTCATGCTTTTTTTATATTATTGATTGTAATCTTAGGTAGTAAACTTTCAAACAATGAAATGCTCTTATATTTTTAATACATATTTTGAAATAAAAGCTTTCTATCAAATATAAAATGTCATTGATAGCTTTCTGCTTGAGCTTTGTGTTTAGGCCTGTTTTGTCTTGCCAAGATATTACTAACATTTAATAATGTAGAGTAGTCTTAGTGTTCTTGAATTTGGGGAACTTTAACCTTACATTGAAAGTGCATTTTAAATGATTAATGGCAACTTTATTTGGGTTTTTTGGGTTTTTTGTTGTTTTTTGTTTTTGTGAAAATAAAATGAAGATGTAAATGGTGGGATCCTGAAAAATTTATATCCAGTCGATAATACAACCTCTGTGTCAGGACAGCTTTTGTATGTACATCTGTATGCCAAATGTAGTGAAATGTAATGGATGTTTCTTTTGCATGCTAATATTAGGTAAATAGCTCAAAATTTAAAGTAGGTAGCTGAGATGAAACAGAACATAAAGAAGGGTAGGTGAGATGATTGTCAGAATCCCACTTTCATATTTGGTTTCTGAAGTATTTGATATCTCTTGGCTGCTCAAGTGTCCTGAGAAGGAGAGGGTAAGATGTTAAAGCATTCTGAACTTCATGTTCAAAATATTGAGGAAACATCTCTGCTAGGGATTCACTATATGTGAGTTGCTTCTATGTGCCATTAATGTGGGACTGAAAGCAAGGTTAGTATAGATAGAATAGGGCTCTGTCATTAATGTAATGGCACTGATGCTTGTGTGTCTTGAATAGCAAGCTTTGCTTGCAGACACGGATGTGTGGCTTCTGAATCTCAGCTAATAAACCTACACAAAATGGATAGTGCCCATGGGGATGTGTGGGCTCACCTGTGTTCACCTCTGTGGCTTATGAGTTACATTGTGCAGTAGAGCTCAGCACGCTTAAGTAAAGACACTTAAATGATAGGAAGATACTGAAATTATGAATATTCTAGAAAATGTAAGGAAATATTTCTTTGGAAAACAGAATTCTGAGTTAGACTAGTGCAAAGCCAGTTGTTGGTTGTTTTGGTGTGGATGACATTTTCATTTTGTACTTGGCTTTTTATGCAGCTGTAAATTACAGATTTGTATAAAAACATGATACGTGGGCTTAATATTATGCTATACCAAATCCCAGTGCATTTTGAAGAGGGAGAGGAAACTTCAAATGTTTTGTGCTTTTCCTCCCAGCTTAAAATATTTTTTTATAGTTTTATAAATGATTATTGATTATACTTGTATTTTTGAAAACTAAACATTGTAATTTATTTTTTTCCCCCTAAGAGCTCGGGAACAGCTCAAGTGTTCAGTTTGGTTGCGGAACGTAGGAAGAAATTTCAAGAGATCATCAATCGGAACACCAGTGAGGCAAATCAGGTGGTTCGGCCCAAAACATCGATGAAATGGTCTGCACCTGGAGCAACTCCACAGCTAACCACAGCCATTCTAGAGGTCAAGGAAAGCATTCTGTCCTTGCTGATCAAATTGCATCACAAACTCTCAGGAAAACAAAACTCTTATTATCCTCCGTGGCTGGATGATGTGGATGTTTTAATCCATCCAGAAATTCCAAGATACTCTCATGGTGATGGAATGACGGCAGTAGAAAGAATTTTATTGAAAGCTGCTGTACAGAGCAGATTGAATAAACGCATAATTGAAGAGATATGTAGAAAGGTGACACCTCCTGTACCACCAAAAAAGATTAGCTCTGCAGAGAAGAAAACTTTGGATAAAGAAGAAAGGTAACATTAATAACTAAGTAAAGGGGCGCTAGAAGGGCAGTGTGTGTTGTGCATCTGTTGACTAATCTGTCTCTAGGTCTTTGCATGAATTACTTATGAAAAGAATGTCATAATTCTACCATTATTTTCTTCAGCCATTTTGAATATACATGTTTTAGATGGATATTGAGGAAGAACGTGCACCTTGCTAAGTAGATCTTTGCATTAGAAAACTTTTTCATAATAATTTTATGTGATATACACGCTCACCCTTCATGTTGCCATATATACCACTCATATATACAAAGGTGAAGAACGAAGACTGTGTTAACTTGTGAGGCTTAACCTCAAGATGAGGTAGACATTTTTTTATTTCTTGTTGTTTGTTCATTCACATGGACATATCACACCATTATTATTTTTGTTTGTTTACTATAAGTGGCTTCAGTAATTCTGCCTTTTCTGCTTGTTCTATACATTCAATTTAAAAATTCTGGTTTCCATTTTTAATAGTTTTTAAATTTTTAAAAAATTCTATTCAGATTTTCTTGTGATGTGTCCTGAAAACCTGCATGCCTGGTGCCTATCTTGGGCTGAAATTTTTTTGGGAAAAAATTCAGTTTCAAGATTGAGGTTGGGGTATAATGGAGTCCTGAAAGCACCCAGATTACTAGCGCTATTGAAATTGAGTGCAGAGATCCTACTTCTCTTTTGCTTTTAACACATGTTGTGTTGGGAAGTGAGTCCTGTGGAAGATGATTCATCCAGGTCAAAAGTCTTGAGGACAGCAACTATTGCTGAGAAGTAGAGGTGAAAACTAGGAATGATAAGAGCAGAGTTGAAGACTGGAACTGGAAGGAGAGACCTTCTGGTCGATGGAATAGTGGGCAAAGGGAAGATCCCAGGTCAAATGAATAGTTGATGTGGGAAGACTCAGGCTGACAAGTTGGGGATGATAGGGAAGAACTGGGTTGTCAGGGCAGAAATACTCAGAGAGGAATAGCAAATGAAAGAAACAATTTTTAGTGAAAATCTTAATGAGGAAGAATGAAGTTTTGAGAGTTGATAGGAGAAGGAGGAACAGGAATACAAATGCCTGGAAGGCACGAGTAAGAGGTTGGAATTCAGGGGGGATGTAATAAAGCCAGCCAGAAAGAAGAGTTGGCTGGATTGGGGAGAGAGGAGTGGGAAGAAACTGGTAACAGGAACAATGCATTTGAAGTGAAAGGATGGTGGATAGTGTTAGAACATTGGAGTGCAGAGAGTGGGGGGTGTCAGGTCAGAGTGTTCACCACATGAACTGAAGTAGAGACAGGGCTCAAGCTGGAATGGACAAGAATAATATACTTTGTCTATGCAGTATTTTGACACATTAATGGTTTATGTAGCAGACTATAACTGTGGTTCTAGAAATTTAGGTACAAACATGCAGCCATCTGACTCAGTTGATTTCTACCTACTTTTGTTTATCCTGCCATTCTTATTTGTAAATAATTTTTTCATTAAATGTTCTCTGTGTCCAAGTCCTACACTGTACTTGCAAATTAAACATAAAAAAGGAGATTTAGTATTTTTTACAAGTTACAAACTGTATAAAGTAAAAATTTTTTTTCTTGCAAGTGTTCAGTTAATAGTTTGATTTTCAACATATCTTCTAATAGTTCAGTAAATGAGAGAAATAGTCAAGGGTTAGCGTGTAAAATTCTTTCAGAAAATGCCAGGCTGAATGGCTGCTTTAAATAAAACACATCTTGGACACCTACTCATTATTGTGGTACTCAGTAATGCTGGATTTATGTAAGGGAGAAGGACAGGAATCAATGAATCAAGTAACTTTTCATATAGAAAAGGGTAAGGTCATACCTTTCCCTCTAAAAAGGATGTGATATTTTCAAGGATCAGTTGTGGGCACTTTTAAGTTTTCAGTTAAGTTCTGGGGCTAGCTTAATGATGAAAATTAATGTTTCCAGTTCTTTGTTGTTCTGAGTGACTATTTTCTTCCCCCCAAATCCATAATGGCACTGGGAACCCATTAATGGACAGTGTGATCATTGAAATGACTAATGTCATAGACTGACAGTGCTCATATAACCAGGTGGCAATTTTTACGTTCTTTTTTTATTGTCTTGTTCTGTTATTCTTTTCCCCCCAAGTCTAGTTTTGTATTAGTGAAGATCAAGTTGACTGTGAGTGTTCAGTGATCACCTTTTTTGGTTACTTCAACATATAATGACATATTTGGCATCACTGAGGCGATGGGTTGTCGCCATAGAAACCATAATGCAGTTTGAGCTGTTTGCAGTATTTTTTCAATTGCAGTGTCATACTCCCATGGGCCATCATGGAAAATTACAGTACTGAGCTGTACTGAATCTGTCAGAGTTTGTTTATGTCTTCTTATTAAAGGCCTCTATTTACAGTCACTCTGCTTTTAGTCAAGGCGGGTATTGAGAAATTCCCATGGAGGAATAAATAAAAACAGGTTTAATGAATGCCCTGGTATGATGCTCAGAATAATGAATCTTAGGATTGTTGTAGACAGAAGTTATTTTGAGAAATGGTGTCTGTACAACGTGACAGATAAATGAGCAGAGGAATTTGGGGTTTTAAGGTGCTTTTAAGAAAATGAGTTAGAAGCTTTGACTTATAAACAGGCCACTTAAGGATAACGTGTTACAGTGTATTAGCTGCTTTGGTCCTGTGCATGTCTGTTCCTGTGCCAGGACAGTAATAAGCAGACAGTGCAGGAGACTAAACAGGACATCAGATGCCAAGTAATGTTTTTAAATCCCTTGTTAGATATCTGAATCATCCCTGTGTGGTGGGAGTGCATTGTAGGTGCTCGTGCACAGAGTTTTTAGGTATGATAGAGCTTCTCTAGCTGCTCTGGGAAGGTGCTGTGTAAAAGCCCCAGCCATGGGGTACATAGGTCTTTGCATGTGCCCTGTGGTGAGCAGCTGCAGTACAAGTTTTGTTTGGGTTTTCCACTTGCACTGTCCCATTTCCACTCCTTGTAAATTCTTGTCAAAGTAAAGACCCTTTGTTGGTACCTCAGGAAGAGGAAAATCAATTTCTATTTTCATTTGTCTTTTTACATCCATCCATATTCTTCTACCTGCTGCAGTATGTATAGAGAATAGAGTGAGTTACAGAATAGCTGGTCATATAGTGTTGTACAGATCACTAATGTAGTTTAAATGGAAGGATAGTCAAGAATAAGTCTGTCTTCCATTTGTAAATCCAGAGCCATATTAAATGATGAGGAAAAAGGTAGTTAAGTCAGCATGGCTCCAGGGAGATAAAGGCCTTCAATCTGGAAGCAGTCTCAAGCTTCTTTATGTCTAGGTACGAAAGCTGTTGGTGACCAATATCTTGGGTAGAAGTAGGGGAACCAGTAAAAGGAGCCTTAGCTGGAAAATAAATAAAATGTAATTGGTTCCCCTGGCATCAAGCTCAGTATTGAAAGTGAGTGAGATAGGCTGCTGCTGTTATTATTACTGCTACTATTATGATTACTTTGATCTTGTAAACATTGGTTGCTCACGGGAGGACTTGTTTTTGTACAAACAATTGACATTTCAATCTCTTATTCTTCCTTATGTAATAGAAAAATAACTTTGAAGAATAAGGTCTTGGGTTCTTTTTCGTATGATGCTATGTCCTAATCCATTAAAAGATACTTTGATTTTATGAAGGGTGTTTTAGAGCAGGATTCTATTTCTTTCAGACTCAAAATAACTGTTAGGCTTGAAAATCAACCTTTTATTTATAAAAAACATGAATTTTGTATTACATTGTTGAAGGTGGTGACTGTAATAAGCCTGAAACTACTGACTAAAACCTAATTTGTTGTCCTCCATTATGTGTACTCTTTTTACTCTTTTTTAATTCCCCTCCTTTTCCCTCTTTCCATTTCTTTCACTCAGACGGCAGAAGGCCAGGGAAAGGCAACAGAAATTGCTGGCTGAATTTGCTTCAAGGCAGAAAAGCTTCATGGAAACAGCCATGGATGTTGGTAAGCTTTTTGTGTGGTTGACTGATTGTTCCCTCCCCCTATGTTAATATTAAGGTTTTTACTCAGTTTCAAAAAAGGCAAACTGTATCCACTTGTTCACTAAATATTTAAGAGGCTTAAAGTTGTGTTTTCTAGGACAGATAATACTGAAGACATAATTGCTAAAGAATAAATTAAATTGTCTTGAAAATATTTACATAATTTTGTTACTACTTTTTCTTAATACACAGTGGATGAAAAGTGTGATGTATTTTTGGAAGTATTTACTTAACGTTCTAAAGTTAGTTTGTCTTTTAAACATTGCATTTTTTTTAATCTGTAATCATAAAATTTAAAGATTATTTCTTTATAAAGCCTCAAATTTTAATAAGGTAAAAGTTTACCATTTTAAATCTCTGTATAGAATTAAGGAAAGCATAATTTTTAGATCATCTCAGTTGCTTCAAGTGATAACATTGTATTCTATTTCAAGCACAGGCTTTACAGCAGAATCAGCTCTTGTTTTTCTTGAGGATAAATTGTTTCAGGCTCTGCTGTGTACAAGCATGTAATCTTGATTAATTTGCTTGTGTTTAACTGAGGAATGGAAAATATTTTCATTTGGATTATTACTTCATTGAAAGTCAGCACTTTTCAAAGATTAAAAAAAAGGCAGAAATTGGGTTGTTTTTTTTTCCCCTCCCCTCTTTAAATCATATATAATCAGCTATGTAGTTTGATGTGAGTTTAAGCACTGGCAACTGCTTTTGCTGAAGAAGTCTGTCTTTTTTAAATTATTAATTTCTCTCCAGTTCATAAGTTGCTGAGAAAATTTATTCCTTTATACTTATGAAAGTCTTGTATAAAGCAATCTTTAAAATTTCTTCAGCAAATAAATATGTATAGTGCTATGCTCAGAGGGTGTGCAGTACAACACAAAATCCACAAATAAAAATGAATTTAAGTCATGCCTATTAAATGGGTAGCTGTTCCTTTTTAATCTATTTGTTGAAGTAAGGAAGAAGAGAATTAAAAACATACTGTCGTGGCTAATTGAAAAGCAATTGGAAATCTTTGATTCCGCATTCACCTATATTATGAATTCTTGATATTGCAACTTTAAAGTTGATGGTTTTGTATATGAAATAATTTGTAGCTATATATATTTACCTGTCATAGCCATATTTTCATATATACATATGCATGCATAAATACCCCATGCTTGAGTTTTATAAGCTGTGGTTAAGGTAACTGCTTTGATTTGTGGATGAATTATACTAAATAAGTTAAATCAATAAATTATACAGTATTTATTTGTGTGGAGGACTGACAGCTTTTACTTCACTACGTATGTGAAATATCTAAAAGAACCCCTAATTTCTTTAACAGGCAGACCTGGGCCCTTTGTGCTTATGACTGTGCATTGAAAAGTTCTTGGGCATGCAACACTGGAACTGTTTGGTTTTTAGTATTTAAATAATGAATAACTTCAGATATTTCAACATAAAATGTAGTGTGTGTTGTCAGTTATACCAGGTCGTGCACAGCAGTAGATAGTATCAACTCAATGGAGTATGTTTTCATAAAACTGTTCTGCATGAAGACATTTCTTGGCAACAGCTTAATAGAATTCCAGGCATTGTGTTAGCTGAATAATTACTTTTCTTTTCAACCAACTTTTCTCAGTGTCTTATGAGTTGACATCCTGTTTTCTGAGTTTGTGATGAAAAGTTTGCTGAATTTATACTATAGCCCAGTATTAGCAAGCTTTTATGTTCTGACTGACAGAATGGAGGTACGTATTCCACTATAGTGTGTGGGATTTATTTCAAAACCTAGATTGTTTCAGCTGTGAACGCAGTATCTATATGTTAAAGCAAATTATTGAAAAAGCTGCAGAAACTATTGTTGCTGTAATGCTAATACACAAGACATGGCAAGAATTCTGAAGCTAGTCTGCCTGGAATGATTAAATTGAAAACTACCATATTAAATAGGCTTACTCTGAATTGTATTATAGCTGTGTTTTGTTTGAAAACAAAAGAACCTTTCATACTAAAATTGGTCAGTTATAATGCATTCCTCTCTCACACATTCAAACTCTGTTACCTTTTTTTTATTACCTCTGTTACTTTTAGTATAGGTTGAAATTCAGCAGTTGGTGTATTCCTTAATTTCAGTTGTTTGTAACAATAATAGCACTGTCAGAATGCAGGGATGGTGAGGCCTCAACTCTCTTGCTTTCTACTGATTCAGTTAGTGTCATTTGAGCGAATTATTACTATCATCATCGTCTTTTAAAACTTCTCTGTCTATGAAATGTGGATGTGACTCAGTAGTAAAATGTGAGAACTGGTGTAATTGCTTCTGGGTATGGCACTTAAGAAAATTCATAGTAACTTTCTCTTGACTGAAAATACTCTGAAAACAAATGTGTCTGTGGGCATAATAAATAGCCAAAGCTTAAAGATAATTTTATTAAAACCCATAAACTTAATAGTTTCCAAAGCATTTATTAAAATACACAGTGCCACTGTTAATGCGCTGAGGCATTCCTCTGCTTTGATTGTTGGGATGCTGCAGTGAAACATGTCTCAAAAGGAAGTTGTTACCCAGTTACAAGTTCGTTTTTCAATATTGAATGTCTCATCTTACCAGCAAAAATTACGTATTTGAACTGGAATTCACAAATTCACCTGAGATTCTAAAAGTAAAGGCTGGCATTTTCTTGCATATAATTACTATAGAAAAAAAGTCCTGATTATGTAGCCCTTTCCATTTGGGCCCCCTGTTAATTTCTATTTATATTCTGTGACATCTGCAGAACTGCATTGCCATTCAAACTTGCCTGGAAGTAATTAAGTGAAATTTAGAAACAGCTATGTTAATGAACTAGGATGGAACAGAACCCACTCTGCTGTCTTTAGCTGTTTGACTGCAGGACAAACGTAAAAAGTAGAAAAATAAATCAAGAAACATCCTTCTAAGAGCAGAGATAGAGCTCTTGAAGTATCTGAGGAGAATGTCTAGTGAGTCAATAATGTGTTCTCATATACAGTGTCAATGCCGTAGTTCTTCTAGTCTCCTACTAATAGCTACTTCTACATCTTTGTTTTGAGGTCACTTACTTCAGTATAAGGCTGTGGTTTTTCTGTTGTGATGTGGAACTCCATGCTAGAGATTTTTGAAACTTCAGCTGCCTTTGAGGCAGGACTTGATAAGAACAAAAATTAATCCCTCTGTTCCAGGTTAATAGTAGCCTTTAACAAATAACAGTGATATTTATAGAGATCTGTCTAAGTCTTATTATAAACATGAAATACTATGATCTGTTCCAGGCAAGCTGCTGAACTACTTAATCAAATATATCTTAGTGAAAATTTGTAAATCAGTTCATTTGTAAATTAAGATTTCTTGCATACCTTCAATAGTTTTGCTGTCTCTGAAGTGCCCAGTGTGATGGTTATGTTTGTTGGTTTTGTTGTTGTTGTTTTTAAATGCCTCATGATAAGTATGCAGAACAATCTTTGTGTTTCTTTCCTATGATGTGAGTCTCGGTAGGACGTTATTTTGTCCTTCAAGTGAAAATTCCTTAGCTGGACTTAGCTGAAGTGCAGAGTTTTAATGCAAGGTGACATACATTTCCTAACACTCGATCTTCTGAACCTAGATAGAAAAATAAATTAGGTACTGATCTCTAGAGAACATGTATGCCGGGTCAGGGTGAAGAATATTAGCATACTAATGGTTGCTTTGATGCCAAGGGGCCGCTTTGACATAAAATGTCTACAGCAGGAAAAATGTTGACTACCATCGACAGAGACTGTAAACTATATTTACTGTGTTTACAAGACCCATTTGGTTCTGGGGTCTTGCTGGCTAGGGGAGAGAACCAGAGTGAATCTTTTAATTCTGGAGAACAGAACTGAAATAAAATTCAGGCAGCAGTACATTCTGCAATCAAACAGTGTGCCAGGTTTTACCCGAGTGATCAGTATTTGCCAGGAGGTGGGAAGTGCTAGGGTTTTATTACTTTGGAACTCTAACTCCTATTGGTACAAAACTAAACAAAGAGCTAAATAACTAACTTTTTTTTTTTTTTTAAACTCATGGAAGTGATGATGTTTGGCATTATCCCGGATTTCTGACATAGTTTAAATGTTTTCATCCTCCTTCAGTGTGTTTATTTTTTAATGAGGTTTGTTTTTATCCACGTTTCTGAAATAATTCACAAGGACAAAGAAAAGTCCCAGCGCCCACTGTAAGGATGGGGGGGGGGTGTGTGTGTGTGTTACAGTATTAGACAAACTTCATGAGAGAAACTTGGTGAATTGTTACCAATATCATGTGTCTTATATTTCCCATTTGCTCCTTCTTCACATGCACTGACTCAGAATGAGTCTTTGTGAAATTTTGGACAGTCAAGAGTTTTAAACTGTAAGCATCCTTGGTTGTATTCCAAAGAATGCTTGATTTAAAATATGCTTGCTCTCTTGAATAAGTGCTGCCTGGCTAGTAAAGCCATGCTTCAGCCTAGCAGCTATAGCCACCTTGGTCTTCCTCGCTCTTGTTTGCCGCTACCTACTTTCTGCATCTCCAGTGGAGTGATGAGTTGTCTTGTTTTGAGTGACAGTGGTTTTCCTGCAAAACAAGACTGCAAGCTCCTACAAAACCTGTTTGGAACATGGAGCAGTAATATGCCTCAAGATCAATATCTTGGCAAATAGCTGGCAAACGATTCGTTTGGCACTCAGTAAGTGTTCTGGGACGTAACACACAAGTGCCATTTTTCATGGAAGTATCTCCCCAGTGTCAGCAAAAAATTTTGGGGGTTTCTGCACCAGGGGAAGCAAGATAAAGAGATTTAGATTATTCTTCACCTTTGACTTGCAACTGGTGTAGGTTTGTTCACATGACAGTTCTTGGTGGTGATTTGGGTGGGTTTTCTTAGCTAGAATAGAAGGAATTTTATGTGTTATTAAAATCAGTGTTTAATCATAAGACTTTTCATCAATGTAAAAAGACATTTAATGAAACAATAATTTTTATTGAGCTGTCTTTTTATAATTGCATCCTGTCAGCTAGGAAATGTTAGCTCATACTTGAAGAATCAGTAAGAACCTGTATTTTCTAAATCAAATTAGTAAAGTAGCATTGCAACTCCAGTCGTCTTAAGTAAATGCTTCATCTGTTGCTCTGGAAAACACGAAGCAATTCTGTGCTTTTCCTTAAATGAAATGGACAAAAAGGAAGAAAAGCTGTGAAGCTCGCAGTATCTGGGCATTTAAAGCTTCCATATGAGTACTATTGCAGCAAAATGCAGGTTAGTTTCATTTTTTCCCCATATGAAATAGGAAATACATAACTGAAAGTGAAGTAGAATGGAGGCATGCCAATTTATGTTCACAAGTATCAATGCATTAATGAAATATTTTAGAAGGAGGTTGCTGAAAAGTATGTCTCCTTTTCAACAGTATTTTGAGTTGAAACATGTTTGTCCTGGTCCTTGCCAGAGTAGCTAGATCATGTAGCTGGTGTGGCAGGGTTTGGTGCTTCCCATGAGCAAGAAAGACAAGAATGAGATTGTTGCTATAAGTATAGCTTGCTTTCTCTTTTCTGGACTGCCACTGTCCAGAATTATGCTGCCAAAATGTACCCTTTCAAACAGACCATTGCCCGAGTTTTGAAGCAGCTAACAACTGGTTTAAACCAGTAATCAAGGTTTATCATAGTCCATTCAAAAAGAATTGGGAGGGGAGGGGAAAAGGGTTTGCTTGTTTTTTGGAGTTTTTTGGTCTGCTTAATTATTTGAGATTTTAAATTCTTCCAAATTTGTCTTGCCCGTGGACTTTGTGTAAGTTGACTTTGTTTTCTTTCACTGCTTCTGGGGGAGATTATTTTATTAGGAAGTCTTCCTTGATGTTAGAAGTTTAGTTCTTGAAATCTGACTGTTTGCCAAGTAGCCTGTCGCTTGGTCTGAGTACTTGTGAAGGAAACATGCATTAGATCATTAAGTTCTAAAATTAAATTAGCCTCATTTTTATGTGCCTGTTGCACATAGGCAATAGAAATATAGATTGCCTATACTGAATCAGTTGGAAACACCTTTTAAATACTGAGATCTGTGTTTTTTTTCTTCAGGTTTAAAATATATAATTTACTGTGAATGAATGGTATTTTGTAAACGAAATGCTGACTGGTTTTGAGGACTTCCATTGAGTTGTTCAAAATCAGATTGATGCACTATAATGTCTTTCTACACCTTTTAAGAAATATTGAATGGATGCATATTTTATGTTGTATTGACAGTATTTTAGAAAAGATAAATAAGGCGGTGGGGACTCTCCCATCATTCTCGTGTCATGTGCTTCTCATACACAAGTACATGTGAGTGTGCATTATGCTATTATGAGGTGATGTTAAATATAAAAAAATAGCTTTAGAGTTACTTGCTTACGTGCTGCAGTTGCTCCTAGATTTCCTGGATGTTTGGACTTAAAAAATAAATGATGTGCAGTTGCTGCATTTTGCTTTTTCTGTCATCGTATGTCTGACTGCCACTAGATGGTGATAGATGTGTGTACAATATTAATAACTGCATGTCAGTGAAGATCACAGTTTATTTTCGTATGACCCTCAACGACTGACTGGGAAATCAATAGTTACTAAAATTGTGTAATTTTGATACTGCCCTGTGAGTGAGAGCATAGCATGGAGCTTTTCATAGCAAGGAAAGGTGCTGCCTGGCATGCAGCATGCTTCTCCTTGAGCAGCATGCCTCCTCTGCTGAACTTCTAGTGGACTTTCAGAAGAGAGCAGTTCCCCTAAAAACAGTTCTGTGTGAGGACTTTTGCTGCACTCAAGGTTTTTGGATGCTTTATCCATCACCTCGGCCTACTTGATCGAGGAGATAAAGGGCATAGTTGAAGGTAGGAAGGAAGTGTTTTCCTTTGGAAAAAATATCTTCTAGGAAAGAAACAAAGCACCCTTACATTCTAGGTGAAGAGGCTGCCTGTATGTGTTCCTGAGCAGTCAGGAGAGGATCACTTAGTCCTATGGTGCTTTTCTTTCAAGCCAATAAGGAATTCTTACCTTTGTAACATAACATAAAATTGCTTCCGTTTCGGTTAGCCCCCTGCCCAGAAACCAGCACCACCAACCGTCATATGAACAAAGCTACATCAAGTGCGATTGCGTCAATAATTTGAAGCTGGTCTTTAGCCTCAAAAGATCGTCTTTGCACCTAGGAAATAGTAATGTGGGTCATTAGAAAACCAGATCTCTGATGTATTTTGCATAGCAGCAGATCAGTTTCTTAATGACCCCTGATTTTTAAATATTGTCCAAGTTTCATATTTAAAAAAATCTTTCGTTTTTAGTTGCATGTTCAAGTCACCTTTTCTAAGCATCTTAAAAGTTTTATCATAGGTCTCCAGATTAACTTTTTCCTTACCGTTGTTGTCAGTTAGTTATGAGCAAATCTGGTTTTAATAGAGGTTTGTATTCATTGCATTTCATTTCTCAATGTTCAGAGTTTTTAATATAGTAACTAATGAAATAGAAGCTAGATCTCTGCTTTATATAAGTTTTAAAGAGATAAACTTTAATACAAAACTTGAATTAAACATTTAATTCCACTGGGAATAATTTTGAATGTGGGAAAACTGGAACTTCATTGTATGGGTATCTTTTTGTTTTAAGCAGTAAAGTTAGTTTCAAGTGATCTTCAATGTTTAAGTTGTAGATAAACTAGACGAATTATTTTGAAGGGGTTTTTTGCCACTACCTCAATGCAGATGCAGCTGGATTTCTTTCCCTCTGTTTCATATGAATTTTCTTATCCTTTTTTAGAATCGCCAGATGCTGATATTGCCATGGAGGTAGCTGCATCGGAACAGCATGTTTCTGAGGCAGTATATGATTGTGTTATTTGTGGACAAAGTGGTCCTTCTACTGAAGACAGACCTACAGGGCTAGTTGTACTATTACAAGCATCCTCAGGTATGAATTCATGACTTGTTGGACAAACAGTGTTTCTGCAGCTTTTAAAATGTGTGCGTAAATACCATCGTGTCTCATGCAGCCTGGAAGGACAGTGTGTCCTCTTTTTTTATGGATGGTCCTCCATAAGGCACATATGTAGGTTTGAGGGTAATGAGAATTTTTTTGAATGTTTGGGGAAAGAGCAACGGTTGCATTCCCTCCTACTTCCTGTTAGCTTTTGCAAACCCAGAGGTATATAATAGGCCTGCATGAAAATAGGTATTGAGAGAAAAAGAGAATAAAATAAACATTAATGTGTCTATATGTGTGTATGTGTATATACTTCATGTACAAGTGCAAAAGCACAACTTAGTTTCTTTGATATTAAACAGTAAAAAAATTACTGAAAAGGCACACTGTAGTTACAAACCGGAATTTCCTGGTTGCTTTATTTATTGTTTAGTGTATTGTTACCCACCACATTCGTTATTGCTGCATTTCTTCATACAGTGTTGGGACAATGCCGCAATAGCACTGAGCCAAAGAGACTACCAACTACTGAAGAGGAGCAAATATACCCTTGGGACACCTGTGCAGCACTGCATGATGTGAGGCTTACAACTTTACAGCGATACTTCAAAGATGTAAGTATTTCATGTGAACAGTACTACCACTTACGAAAAATTTGTGTAAAAAGGTAAATGAAATTACAACTTAGACCCCTCCTTCTTTCATTTCTGCATTTAGTGAATGATGTGTCACGTTGCAGTAGTTATAAAGTGTTTACATCTGATAGGGTCTTTATTTTTAAATAGCATCTGGCAGCTTTCCCAGAGTTACACTTTTGGCATATAGGCATCTAGTGCATCTACAGGCTATATAGTCATTAAGTACACATACAGATTTTCTCTAGAAGAAGATATTTCACAATTCAGTATGACCACAGATTGAGACGTGGGTTTACTGTCTTACGTATTACTTTCAAAACACCAGTTTTCTTGCGGCTGTTCAGAGAACCTGATCAAGGAATTACTCTTCATCAGTTTAAAGTATTGTTGGCAGCACAGAGTAAGTGGAAAGTGTTGTTTTAACCTGTAACAGTTTTGTGAGCCACTGCAGAGAAGGAGAGGATGACTGGAAGGGAAGAAGGGACCAGCAGAAGACTTCACCCTCTTCTGCTGAATCCTCAACTCTGCACAACGTTACTGACGTTCAATTTTATATTAGTTTGTATGTTATTGTCTGGTTTGCATTTCCATTAGCTGTTCCAAGCAGAGTTTTGCATTGTTTCACAAAGCCACATTACAGCTTTTCGTATTTTAATTTTGAGAGCCAACTCTTATT